AACAAAACGAAATTGTACGGGCTGCTCTGGCTCCACTTCCGTCGGCGATACGCTCGCCGCAACAGTTGGTGGTCCGGTCCACTTAACGCCGGCTGCTTCGGCCTCGCTCTCTGTGCTGTACTGCTTCAGCACACCCTTCACCTCGCTTAGTGCGCCCGAAATGCGCGCCTTCAACTTGTTCAGTCGCTCAATAACATCTTCCGGCTTCTCCTCCACCGATTCCTGCGATCGCATGCGTCGCTGACGTCGCAGACGCGTTCGCTCCGGCAGCAGAGATTCCACATCAATTGATACATCTTCTCGACTTGTGGAACTGCGTTTGGATTCGCTCAGCAGTGGACGCGAGGTCGAGGCCAATGGCACCGCCGCATCACGTATACGACTCGTGATGGCTGCAACTGTTGCTGTGGATGTTGCTGCTGCTGCTGCTGAGGCCGCTGCTGTTGCTGCTGCTATTGTTGGTGCGCTGGATAGACGACTCGACACTGGTTCTGGCAAGCGAACATTGCTCTTGAGCAGTTCATACTTCATGTCGCTGATTTGATTGCCGTTGATGTCGCTGCTGCTGCTATTGTTGCTATTATTGTTGTTGTCATCCAGCTCTACTGGCTGCTCAATTGGATCGCTATAAATATCAACAACGACGGCGGTTGCTTCACTCTCGTCACTCACTTTCGTCACAGTCATGTCCGCACATTCACTGACCACCACCTGCTCAACCACCGGCTCGCTCCAAAGGTTACCCGTGGCAATCAGCTGCACCAGCTCCAACAATAGATCTATTAAATCGAGATCCCAATCCGGCACTGGGATAACGCTCGCACTCTCGGCTAGCAACGCGCGCACCGTACTCTTTAGCAGTTCTAAACTAGCAGCACCGTTTGGTTTGGTTTGAATTACGTCTGATTGTTGCCGTTGCTGACCATCCACTTGCTCTGACGACGAGTCGCGCGCGTCTGAATGAGTGGAGGCGGTGGCTGCGGCTGTGGCTGTGCCTGTGGCTGTGGCTGTTAGCTCCTCAGCTATTGTTTGACTCTGCTCTGCTCGGCTGGCCAAGCATATTGACTGCCGCTCTTTAGTCATATTTAGCTCATTATGAGCTGCTGCCGTCTCTAATTTGCTTTGCTCACATATTTCGCGTTTATTTTTGGCATTACCAGCATTCATGGCGTCGTCGTCGTCGACRTTGCCTTCGTTGTTGCTGTTCTCATTGTTGATGTTGCTGTTGTTCTTGCTGTTGCTGTTGTTGTTGTCGTGTCGCCACCCAAAGGCGTCATTAAAATTTTCCGCCTGTTGATGCTCGATTTCCTTTCGCTCGCCAACGCCTTCAATTTCGACGTTCAAGTTTAATGTTTGCTCGTGAGCGTTGAGTTCATTATCAAATGCCGCCTTATGTACATCATCAACATTATTATCATCGCGATGACCATTGAGATCATCATCATCATCATCATTGTCATTGTCAGCATCAACTGTCCGCTGCGAATCCATGTCTATTTTGGTGCTCATATTGTAGCTCGTCTGCGTCACTGTTGTGTTTGTTGTTGTTGTTGGTGTTGTCGTTGTTGTTGGTGTGGGCACCACATCCGTCGTTGTTGTTGGCTTTGGCGTTGGCTCGTTGCTCTGATCATTTCCATGCGCAGCATTGGCATTGGCATTTCGATGTTTCTTACACTCTGGCTGATTATTGGGAAAGCTGATAAATTGTTTTTTAATTGTGGGAAATTCGTTTAGCGCGAATCGCGTTGTCGCCACGGTGGGTCTGCTCCCCCACACGCTTATTGATTGAGTTGAATAGTTGAAATTCCTCTTGGGTAATTGGCAGAGCAGCGGAAATCTTTGTGGCAAAGGCAAGTGAATCACTTGCTCGGGAAATTTAGATATTGCTGCTGTGGTTACAATATTGCTAAAGGATTTATTTCCTACATGTTGCTGCTTTACTGGAAAAGTTGCTGTGACCTGCGGCAGAGTTTGCTCTGCTTGCAGCAGCGGAAACTTTCCAGGCGCAGCCATTTTGATTTTTGCCTGTGGCCGCCATTGTTGTTGCTGTTGTTGTGGCGGCTGATTATGTGAAGAGTTGCACTGCAGCGCCCTCTGCAGCGGAAATCGTTGCTCATCAATCGGCACTTCCGGCGTGCAGAAACCATTCACATTTGCTGCTGACAACATGGCTGACTCAGCTCTATGCTTCGACAATATTTGCGAATTATGTTTATAATTAGCTGCTGTCAGCGCCAGCGCCAGTGGCTGCGGCTCCCCTTGCCCTGACTCGTTGAATGACAACGCCCGCGCGTTTTTAACTTGATTGCTCTGTTGTTGACCTATTTTAGAGGCGTTTCAATTTTAATTTTAATTCACAAATTTTCGTTAGTTCTCATCAAAACACGCGCTGCAAATTGTTGCTGCTTTCAACACTAGGTTGCAACCCGAACTAACAAAATGGGGCATCTTTTAGCAACACGCAAATGTCTAGACAAATGCTGTAATTGTTGTAAATGCTAAATCAATGCTGCGCTCTCTATGTACATATAATTGGCAAAAAATTTCTTTGTAAACAAAAACGAATATTGAATACACTACGAAAACTCTTATACATTAGCAGTTATGTCTTATACTACTTGTATTAAAAACAATTTTAAGGCTCTTAAAAAAAATTCTGTATACAAGCATAACTTATATCATATGATAATATCAAGCATATGCCTGCAAGACCCTAGCAACTGAGTTGCTAATTGCGATAAATTCATTGTGTCTGAAACTGTAATTTATACATACACACAGATGTACATATATATATATATATATATATAGTAAGCACGTTCGATTATATAGACTATATAAATGTGTCGCCTTGCCAAATTGATTTTAGCCGGCCACAAAAAAGAAAGATAGGTAAAGAGTGAAAATTAAAAAACCACTCGTGCCAAATAGCGCCACAAGCCCATTGTTTAAATATATATGTATGTATATATAGCATACTTATATATGTACATATATGCTCAAATGTAGCATACGCTTGCCAAATTTGCCAGCAGGCAAAACATAAATAACGAAGACTGCAAAATTGCTTAAATTTCATTCTGATCCCTTTTAAATAATTGAAAATCATTTAATTCACAGCCGTTGTTTCCTTTATCGTGGACGTCCACCAAATTCGGCTTCGTCCACGGGCAACAAGGTACAGCATTTAACCGAATATAATGATCTTATTACGAGCATCTTCGGCGAGCTTACTGAAGAGAACAAATGCCGCATGGAGGAGAAGAAGAAAGCGGCAAAATCAAAAGCGTTGAAAGAAAGTGAAGCTAAATTGGCTAAAGAAAAAATGGCCAAAATGAAAGAAGAGGGTAAAGATCCTAAGGGAGCCGGTCCAGCTGGTTCCGCGCCACCGGCTAAGCCGCAACGTAAGCCAACAGATAGCACATCTCCAAGTGAGGGTCCATCGCCAGCAGCGCCAGCAGCGTCAGCATCGCCAGGACGTAAATCTGCTTCGAGCGCACCAACAAACCAACCAAATCAAGCTAGGAAGCAAAATGTTCCGCAAGCGCCAGCGAAACAAGAGAATCAAACACCTAAAAGAGCTGATACTCCAAATCCGAACAGTAGCAAACAAGAAAATACACCCGCTAGAAAACAACATAGCCCCACCCCTGCCACTGATCCCAACCGAACGAAAACTGAGGAGAAACCCTCTTCAGAAGATCCCAACGATTTTTGGTAGTTTCGAAACCATACGAACAAAATTACAATTTTACTTATTTGTTATTTAAACTAAAACAGTTTTGAATTATAGCAACGTTCGTACCTAAAAGTATATTTTCCACCTTTCTGACACACATCATTGTTTTTGTTTTTAACATTGTTTCCAATAGTTTGGATTTTGTTCCATTCGACGCTGAAAGTTGGTGTACCAATTTTGTACAACTGAGAAAGGCACAAAGGTTTCAGTCGTGGCAGGTGGAATCTCTGGTACGCCCACACAAAAACTGGACGCATAATTGAAAAAGTTCTCCAGCATGCGCTGTCCAAACTGTATATTATCGTTGGCGGTAGACTGTAAACGAAAAATATGTGTAAATATTTAATGTGCATACTACTTAAACTAGAAATCCGTGCCACACTTCTTGTCCGTTTCGTACCAGCCTTAGACGCTTTCTATATCCTTCTAATCTTCACGAATTTCTGTCTATACAAATGTAAAGGTATATACAGTTTACGGATCCGTTTCATGTATCTCATGTATCATATCCGTATTCCACAGTAGGCAATTACTCGATCTATGTCATATATAAACTCCAGTTTGTCCAGAATGTCGCGTTTAAGGTATGCAACGGGCAAAAAGCAGTGCATGAATTTCCAGCTAATTAAACTCCACATGTACTTACAACTGCAGGTGTCTGTTGAGCTACCGCCAATTCGGGCTCTATAGAAATGCCAATTTGAGCTATGTGCGAGATCTCCTGAGCACCAAAGACCATGCCATTGGAATATGTCTCCAGTTCTGGGCCTTTCTTCAGTTGCGCTATTTTGAAAATCGCGGAGGGCTTGGTGTTATTGATGTGGCCCAGATATTGCCATGTAGGCGCCGCATTCGCATCTGGCCAACTGAAATAGATTGCTGCTGCGGTGCCAAGCGGCAGGGGCGTGATGCCAGTTAAGAAAATAACAACATAATTCACGTTGTCGATGTCGGGGACGTTTATCAGCAGCTTGTTCTCATCAACTGCTACAAAATCGGTTTGAGGCTGTGCGTGTGAGTAGCGAAAAGATACTGTTTTAGTTTATTTCATTAACATTTAAGAAGTACTCACCAGTCTACCTGAAATAATCAACCCAAACATTTTCGACCGGCTTCTTTGTCTTTTCTAGAATAAATAAAACCACTACCATTCGCGGGTCAGCGTGCACAGCCTAAATACGGTTTTAGTATTTTTTATCGCATACTTCAGGCGAGCTGGTCATACTGTAGCGTTGTCGAAAAATGCAGTATATCGATATTTTTAGTAGTGCCTATCAGCGTATCAGAATTTAGTGTTTGTTTTTGCGTATAAAAGTTATGGCCGGACTATTATACCTAAGTAAATTGTGTAGTAAAAAGAAAACACTGACCTACACCTTCCACATTACATGCCAGAAACAGATCAGAACAAGACATCCAGCATATGTGGTAAGTACAAATAACAACACGATAAACCATATTCAAGGCCATTTGCGGCTAGGTTACGATTTCATAATGATAAAGATTAGCAGGCATGATGTGCAGATTATTGGCTATAAATATACAAGAAAAAGAGCAAAGAGGTCAGGCAACAGTATGCGTGTGTGTTGTTTTGGCCCCTTTTCGAAAAATTTGTTGATATTTTATTTTAATACCTTTACGAACGTACGCACTTGCTTCTTTCGTTGCAGCAAGACTAAAAACAAAAACAAAACCTAAAAAAAAAAAAAAAAAAACAGCAAATAAACGGGCGCCAAAACAGCACACACACTCAGAATGGGGCGCACACAGCGGCACAGACAGCGTCGCAATTCACAAACACCAACACCATCATCTACAACACTTGATAATGCTTTGCACGTGCTCTATGGCCAACTTCATGCGCTGGGCTGGCGCAATGAGACTCGTCTCTCAGCTTTGACTTTCTCACAAACCGGACGCGGGCTGTGCTCCAAGATTAAAAGTTTCCAGGCAGGCGATGAGTTGATACGTCTGCCCGCCAGCTGCCTAATTAGTATAGCCACACTGGAGGCGGATGAAGGATTTAAGCAACTCTTTAATAGGGATTTGTTTGACAAGGATGCACGCATATCCTTTCAAGCGCTTGTGGCCTGCTATCTAATGTATCAGAGACATCTGTATGAGTGCACAAAGGATTCTCGATGGTCTGCCTATTTGGACACTCTACCCAGCAGCTATACGACTCCCTATTTCTGTGCTATCAGCGAGCTGCAGTGCCTGCCCGATACATTGCTTGAACGTACAGTGGCACAAAATCGTCAGATACGCGAGTATTATCAGGTGCTGAAGGCTCTACTAGGCTCACAGCATTGCGAGTCCTGTGGCAATCGCTACTGCGAGGACATCTGGGCGTTGGCGGAATACAAAATTGCCTACTTTACTGTCAACACGCGCAGTGTCTACCTTGATGCAAGGCAACTGAAGCAGTCCAACAAGAGTCATTTCCAGCCGCTGCTTAATGACAGCTCAAACTTAGCTCTGGCGCCTTTTCTGGATCTATTCAATCATTCTGACAGCGTGCGGACCACAGCGCAGCTCTACAGTAAAAGTCAGGAGTATGTCCTTACTCTGGAAGCCTTCTCAAAACCCATACTTAAGCCATATGAACAGCTCTACATCAGCTATGGAGCTTTGCCCAATTTGAAGCTAATCACTGAATATGGCTTTTATTTGGAGCACAATGCACACGATTACTTCGAATTCTCGCTGCAGGACATTGAGCAGCTCATCGCGCACAACAAGGAGCTGGCAGCGCAGAGCTATCATCGCAATATATTTAAGTTCATCAGGGAGCATAATCTAATGGATCAGATGTTTGTGCACATCCAGGATGGCTGCTCGCACAATTTGCGTGTCGTGTTACATCTAATCTTCAAGCAACAGGCGTATTTTCCCAATGTGCTCAATCAAATTGCCTTCGGCGATGTTGAGCAATTCGATAATGTGCAGCCGGAGCTGAGCTACTTGCTGGCTTATAAAATTAAGGAGTATCAGGGATTTGTAAATGCACTGCAGCAGCAGCCACAGCTCACGGAGAGCGGAACTGTTGCACTTGGCTACCTGATAGAATGTCTACGTTACCTACGCGACTTTGAGCAGGCTCATAGTTAAGGCTAAATGAATTTTCTTTTATACAATAAAGTACAATTTTATATATTTTTGTGAAAAATCTCGTGTCATTTGTCATAAAGTTTTCGTTTTGCCTTGCAGTTATATTCCACGCTCGCCAGATCGAACGATGAATCACAGAATAATAATGCCAAATCGAGCAAGAAGATAACACCATTCACGCCCACGCCGGGCAGCAAACTGCTTGGGGGCGTTTTTGCAAAGAAGACGAAAGGTAGGTGTGGCTGCCACCCCAATTCAGCGTATCACTTGATATGCGAGAGAAGTTTGATTAGTTTGTGAACTTTATTTAAATAAGTAAATAATACACCATTGTGCTGACTACCCTCGTATAACCACGTAGAGGACATATTTAAGAAACCCTCAACGGACAAAGGCTACTTAATTTCTGTTTGATTCATTTCATTTAGATGATTTCAGCAGAGCTTTGATGTAGTTGAAACTAAAAAGTCTTACACTTAGGCTAAGCACTTGCTTGTTCATCTATATTCCATGTTTATATTTTTGACTAACTAATTTTTGTTTTGTTATCTGAGCCAATAAGTTGTTAACAAACACAAAAAAAAAGAATGCACTTCGTTTGTTTGTTTGTCTGTTCGTTTGTTGTATTGGCGCCTGTTTGGATTTAGCTGCAATAAAGTCAATTCGATGCAGTTGCAGCAACAGCATCAGCAGCAGTGCTACAACAACAACAACGACTGCCACAACAACAACAACAACAACAATCAAGACTATGTCACGTTCATATAGGCAGCGGCGGCAACGATGGCGGCTCAACGCTTGGGAAACTGGATGCACCAGAGGTCACCTCCAAGGATATGCTGCGAGCGATGATGGCGTACATCTGGCCAAAGGAGGATGCGCTCGTACGCAAACGGTAAGTCGGAATGAAATTATATATACATTGTATATATAGTCATATATTTAACATCTATCATCGTTTCATCAACAGCGTGGGCATCTCGCTGGGCCTGCTGGCTGGCTCCAAGCTGCTGACAGTTTGCGTTCCATTTCTATTTAAGGGCGCCATAGACACGATGACAACGCTGAACATGGACACAGCGCCGGACGCTGTGTTGTCGGCGGCTACTGCCATGCTATTGGGCTGTAAGTACGCCCACTCCGATTGCTATACGATTTAGACTTAAGACTTCACTCCTTGCAGATGGCATTGCCAGAGCTAGTGCGGCGGGCTTCAATGAGCTGCGCAACGCTGTGTTTGCCAAGGTGGCTCATCATTCCATACGCAAAATAGCCACCAATGTGTTTCTGCATCTTCACAATCTGGACTTGGCGTTCCACTTGAACAAGCAGACGGGCGCGTTGTCCAAGACAATTGATCGTGGATCGCGTGGCATTAACTTTGTGCTGTCAGCCATGGTGTTCAATATAGTGCCCACGATCTTTGAGCTGACGCTCGTGTCCAGTTTGTTGGGCTTTAAGTACGGCTTAGCTTTCGCTGGCGTCAGCATGGGCTGTGTGGGCATCTACGCTTTGTATACGCTGAGCGTGACGCAATGGCGTACGCGCTTTCGTGTCTACATGAATCAGGCGGAGAACGAGGCTGGCAATAAGGCAGTCGATTCGCTTATCAACTACGAAACTGTTAAGTATTTCAACAACGAAAAGTACGAGGCTGGCTGCTACAACGAGGTGCTTAAGAAATACGAGGCGGCCAGCTTGAAAACCAGCTCCAGTTTGGCTCTTCTCAATTTCGGACAGAATGCGATCTTCAGCAGTGCGCTCAGTTTGATCATGGTGCTGGCAGCCAAGGAGATTGCCCAGGGCAACATGACGGTCGGAGATCTGGTCATGGTGAATGGTCTGCTTTTCCAGCTATCCATACCGCTGGGCTTTCTGGGCAGCGTTTATCGTGAGGTGCGGCAAGCACTGCTCGACATGCAGGCCATGTTTACGCTGATGAATGTGGACAGCCGCATACAGACGGCGCCCAATGCGCAGCCTCTATACGTGGACAATAGCAATGCGTCCATTGAGTTCCAAAATGTGAGCTTCGAGTATGAGCCGGGCAAGGCGATTTTTAAGGATTTGTCGTTCACCATACCCGCCGGCAAGAATGTTGCAATTGTGGGTGGCTCCGGCTCCGGCAAGTCATCTATGGTGCGACTGCTCTTCCGTTTCTTCGAGCCCAACTCAGGTCGCATTTTGATCGGAGGCCAGGATATCAGCGGCGTTGAATTGGACAGCTTGCGCCGAAGCATTGCTGTAGTACCTCAGGACTCGGTGCTATTCCATAATACCATCGAACACAACATACACTATGGCAATCTGAGCAAATCCCACGAAGATGTGCAAAACGCTGCACGCATGGCCGATCTGCATGAATCAATCATGAGTTGGCCAAATCAATATAGCACTCAGGTCGGGGAACGCGGCCTCAAGCTCTCCGGAGGTGAAAAGCAACGCGTGGCCATTGCGCGTGCTATTCTGAAGAACACGCCCATTCTAATCTTCGATGAGGCTACCAGCAGCCTGGACTCGATTACAGAGCATGTGAGTATCGCCATTAAATTTCAGCTCAATTACTTTACTTATGGAACCTTGCTATTACAGAACATACTGAAAGCCCTGTCGCGCGCCACCACGGGTCGCACCAGCATTTGCATTGCCCACCGCTTGTCGACGATAAAGGATGCCGATGAGATTCTGGTACTGGAGAATGGCCATGTGGGCGAGCGTGGCACACACAAGGAGCTGCTCAGTCAGAATGGCCTCTATGCGCGCCTGTGGGAAACACAAACCCAACAGTTCGATCCCAGTCGCCAGGAGCGCGTCTCAGCGGCTGCTGTGTAGTCCAATGTTGACCTGTCTGGTTATTTGTTCTAGTTTTAAGAGTGCGTGTGCTTAGTTACTTGACAAGGCCACAAAATTTATAGTAGACCGTTTGTTGTTAATTTTTAGGCTGAAAGAAATATTGTGTCCGGTTGTAAATACAGTTATACATATACATATACATATATACATATAATCAATAATAGCGTATGTAAATTAATTGTATATTTCGATGGAGAAGCGCTTCAAAGTGAAAACATTCTCAAGCACCAAGTGCAACGGCTATGGATTGTCTTTTCCGTTCAAGACATGTTGCAAATTTGAATTTATTAAATTTTTAAGTGCCTGTAACTCAACTAACTGAACTTGAAAGGTCTGCTTTTGAGTTAGTTAAACACTGTAGATCATCTTAGCTAGCATTTCAATTCCATTCTAAGTTTATAAAACTCTTTCCTATCAGAGGTATAACATTAAACATTTATTATCAGTTTTATCACGCACAAATTTGTGACACTTGGGGGCTTAGGCAAGAAAATACATTTGTTGTAGCAAGTGGAATATATGTATAATCTCGACTGCTTCATTCTTAATCTCTCTCTCGTATGGAAATAGGTATGGGCACATCGTATAATAAAAAGAGCAAACAATTGGCCAAATGTGCAAGGAACTGTTGGTAATTGGAGACGCGCTGCTTGAACTCTTGCCACAAGGGCAACAATGGTTTATCTTTAGTCTGACCCACATCATCTATAACAATATCCTGCTCGAGCATTGTCCTATTGACATAGGTGTACAAATAGGAGGCGGGCTTCTGGCCAATGGTGGTCACATAGTGCGTGGCATTGCTCTCCAGGCTGATGCTCTTGCCGGCGGTGAGGAAATACGCCTCGTCATCATTGGCGCTCTTGTAGCGTACATTGCCCTCAAGGATCGTCAGGCTGCAGTTAAACAGAGCCGGTGCAATGAAGTTACTCAGCGTTAGACCCGGAAAGTCGGCCACGAATATAACATCCGAATAGTTATTCCAGGCGAGCACCTCGTCTGCAATTGTCTTCAATTTCGGTCGCATGTGATTGAGCTCCGTGAGCAGCGGCAGCGACCAGGGCGTGCGCTTGAACGGCGACCATGGCGCTTTGAGTAGATCCACTCGCGGATCAAAGGTGCGCTGCTGGAAGCGTCCATTCATGGCACACCAGATGTCAAAGTAGATGGAAATATTTTTGCTGGTCAGCGGACTATTCTTTGGATTCCTATCCATATCCTCGTGTATGTTCTTCTCAATGCACTTGGCGTACTGCACAGCCATGTCGGCGTATTTTGTCCAGCGATCGTATTCGGTGAAGGCATAGGGATTCAGATGATGCACCTGCTGATTGTTGTTGTCAACAATCTTAACGGATGTCAACACTGTGTCGTACGAGTGCACCATCATGTCCCAGGAGTAGCCATACAGACCATTCGTCCAGTTGTTGTAGCCCTTGGTAATGAAGTGCGAGTAGGGCAAGAAAAGCTGCAGAGCGCAGTAGAAGAGGATCAAACAACTGCGCAGCTGAGCACCAAAGCCAGGTGAGGTTTGAGATGGTGCCTTTATCGGCGCCTCTACTGCAGACGAGCCAGGCTTGGTTGGGCGCCATAGTCGTCTTGGCCAGTCAAAGCTATAGAAGAGTGGGACTTCCGCCAAGCAAACCCAAGGAAACATGCCTACAAAGCAGAAATATGTATATATAAACAAGATTAGATCAGGTAGGACCTTTGCTACTCACCTATAACAAACAGACGCGAGTTCATCAAATGAAAACTGATCATAAATGGAGTCACCAACAGTCGCGTCTTCTCGCACGTCATAAAGAACGCTATGGACAGGTCGAAGAAGGCTGTGAACCAATGGATAATCAGCAGATCGATGAGCTCTCCATCTAAAACCTGACGAAATGGCGCAAAGACCCAATGCTGACTGAGACTCGTCATCGCATAGCCGGAGAGCCACTCGAATGAGAACTTCTTCAGGCCTGCGTACATGTAGAGCACAAAGAACTGAAACTTGATGAGAAAGTAATTCCAATAGGGCACTGCTCGACGCAGCTCTGGATGTAGCCAACTGTCCAAGGAGCTGGAAAATCAAATAATAAATGTAAGGATTTGGAATTATATATTATATATATATTAAGCCCACCAATAGCAATTCGCTCGCGTGAACAGCAGCAAGGTGCCCACCAGGCCAAATAGATAGCTGTGATTATTCCACGCCGGCTTGTCCAGCAAAAAGATGTACCAGTAGCACGTCACAAAGGACAAACAGCTGATGCGAAAGCGATAACCCAGCGCAATGCCCATGGCGCCCAGCCACATGGCCAGATAGACGCAGCCCATCAGCGGATAGTCCAGAGCATGTATGCCATTGAACAGAGGAAAGTGACAGTGATGGGGCTCGCCAAAGCGGACGTCCAGCTGTCCGCCGCCTCGCTCCTCGGCGATATCAATCAACATGGCTGCGCCGTAGAGCATTCGGAATACACCCAGAGCAGCACCATCTACCGGCCGATGCAGCCATTTGGTAAACGTTTGCAAATTGTCAAAATTGTGTAGATCATGTCCAAAGCAGAGCTTGAAAAACTGAGCAGTTGACGAGGATTTATTGGCGGACAACTTTGCGTTGGACTTGGTCGGCTCATCAGTCACAATTGTGGACTTTGTGGCTTCATCTTCAATGTTGGCTTCTGTTGCATTTGGTGTTGTGGGCTGTTTGCGTTTCGAGTTGGTCATATTGCCTGAATAGAAGGCAGCTTAAATGAGAAAACTTAAGAGATGGAAATGCCATCATTTTCATGGGATAAAATACTTAAAAATTTGTATTATAATTTACAAAAATATGAAACTGATTTATAGTTATTATAAACTTTCCTCTTAATGCCCATGCACCCATAATATATTGTCTTTGAAAATTAATATTTTTTTGTAGAATTTATTGAAAAAGTTTGACATAAATACATGCATGCATATTGTTTGTATACTAAATATATAATATATGTGTTTTGTTGTATTTCTTTTGCGTAAATATAAATCTACGTTTGCTGTCTTTGTTTTTATATGTTTATGTATGTTATGAAGCACACCTCGGATGCATCCCAACCCCCCATTTTTCCATATTCAAACTTGAACATCCGAAGCTGCGATCATTGAAAAATTGTTGTTGTTCGTGTTAGCGAAACATTGTGTTTCGCATTCAAAAAATACATCAATTACGAAATATATATATTTATGTATATAATATTCTATTACATCGTTCTCTCTATATATTCTTGACTTGAGTTTTTATTGCAACAAATTTTGCCCAGCTGCGCATTCTCTCTGAATGCTCGAACACTTTTGAAAAGATTTCACTATTTGTCACATTTCATTTTTCTTTTCTAGCATATTTAGTTTGGAATATAGTTGAAAATACATATATAATATTGGTTTTGAATAGGTTCGCAAAATTTCTAGAAATTTTTGAGAACAAGCTTTGAAAATGCTTTAAACTACGCATACGAATATAAATATAGCTGAATATAGTTTTAGGTTTGTATTACTTCTTGTTATGTTGTTTTAAAAGTTAATGCTTTGGTATTTCTAGTTCAAGACAGGGAAATACAATAAAAATAATATTAATATGAATTTTGAAAATTATATCAAATATTAAATCCATTGTTAAAAAACAAAACATTGTTTTATTTTTATTTTTTTATTTTCCATGTTCTT